CGACGACCACGACGACCACCACCACGAAACCACCGCGACAGCAGGCCGACCACGGAGACCACCAGGAGACTTCAGGAGACCACCCAAAACGACTACCACAGGACCCGAAGAGACCACCACTGCTTTTGCCCAAGTATTGGTGGGATTGAGGAGCACTGCCAACATGCCTTCCAGGGGATTCCCTCAAGTGGCGGAGCCAGGACTCCGGCCGCCCAAGTACTGGCACGGCCCCTTATACTGTGACTCAGACCAGACGGTGGCCCGCATGTCTTGGAGTTTACGCATGGGGGTGCGGATCTGCTGTAAATGACAGGACGCAACGCAAAGTCACCGTGCCACAGCGAGAGCGACGTCCCCGGCAACGCTTTTTTCGCACGGGCACGCTGTGGGGACATGCCAACCAAGTTTCTTTACACCCATCGTTGTACTCCCATAGTGCATACCACGCTGTTTGGGGAACAACTTCAAACACCTCTGGCAAGAAGTTCCGGACGGTAACTTTCCTAAAATCTCAGAATCAGTTAACAAGGTTCAGTATGATAGTTTGGCCATGCCATGTACACTGCGAAGAAATCGTTGCTATACTCGATCCTCCAGTTTTACGCCTTCCCTGGTCGCCTTTTGTTCGCAGGGTGTCGTTTCTCGTCGAGAAGATCTCCGGGCACAACGTAATCAGCTCGCAGGCAACGGAGTTAGGGTCTCGATCACAGGTTCCGGATCCGGCTGCATGGGTCCGAGTTCTGATTTCACAGATTGCCTTTGTTTGAGGGAAGTTGTTCTAGATTCGGGATTTCTATCCGGTCTAGCTTCGGGATGTCTGTCCCGGGATCCTGGTTCCGAGTGTCAGTCTAGAAACTTACTTCACCGATAAGTTACAAGCGGGGCCGTGGTCCTCGTAGTACAGAAGTTTTCGCCGTCCAGCCCTTTGGAAGGACATGTCAGTCTCATTGAAAATGCAAGGCAGCTTGCCTTTGCTTTTGATCGCTCCATTCGAAGCCTCGTGAAGCTGGTTGCAGCTCTGGCTCCTGCCGAAGCTCGTCGGCTCAACACTCGGAATCGTCTGACCCGCAAATCCAAGCCCGTCCGCCGTGACAGGTTCGGAGCTTCACGATCTTGCGGGTGCTTCGAATCCTGAGGCCGGCGAGGGTTGGCATCAGACCCATCTCAAAGTCACAAGACTGTCACCAGACGCGAGCTCGTCAGCTGACTTAAGGCTGCTGCCAAACTCTCTTGCAGCCACACCTCAGACTCTCGACTCCGCAAGGGCCATTGCATAATCATGTCGTGGCCCCTCTGTCGTTGAAGGTCCGTACAGCAGCACAGCAACGCCCTTTGCAGACTAAGGTTTCTGACCCCAAAACCTCATAGGCCGGATGATTTCACATTCCCTGAAGTTGACCCTCTCGGCCCCAAGCCTTTCGGCCACAGGATAGCGCGAGTGGCACGGGCTGCACGGATTATCAATTCCCTTCCCGAGCTGCGTGTTCTGGTGAAGGGCATGGTGACACTGGGCAAAACAGCAAGCCACACGTATACGATTGAGGAAAGACTTGAATAGCTGGAACTGTCTTCCTCGTATTTCTATGTCGGGTGCGGCAGGGTGCGAATGCAGTATATGCCATGCGGTTCTCACAGGTCGAAACATATTCTTTGTCGTACCTCTTTGGTGTGGTTCCGGAGAGCCCTTCCGAGAGATCCGAGAAGTAACACAGGGACTCAATGAAGCCTAGGCCCAGATTCACAGAGCTGACTAAAATCAGCAGCTTGAGGCAGAGGGCTTTGCATTTCTGGACGTGCTTGCTTGTAAAGACACGAAAGCATTCCACGCAGCAGCAAGCCAAAAATCTGTTGTGGTTGGGCCGCATGTTCCACCCGCCCGCAGTTAGTACACCACTGTGCCATCCCCCAAATCTTAGAACGGAGCGAGGGAAAAAAGCGACACTGAGACACTGCTTGCAAAGCTGAGGATTGCTATGCGCTCGACTTGCACTATCCTGGCTTTACTGTTCCGCTGCTGCAGTCGGGTCCAAGGCTTTCTTCTCTAAGTGGCTCCGGCTGCTCCACTCCTAAGCCTGTTTTGTCTTTGTGTCTGACGCACGTTTGATGACCATGTCATGAGTGTCATTGCTTTACCCGGGGCCCTTGCCTAGAGGCGTTGCAAGGCGGTGCCCATGTCGGGACCATACCCTGATCCGATACTCTGTGTGCAACCACTACACCAGCCGTTCTGGAAAGCCCGGGCGCAACGTTAAACACCATCCATCACCGGCACATTGGATGCGGTATGGGCATCTGATGCAAGTACCACCCAATCACAACCACCAGTGCCACACCGGTTCAGCATCGTCGCCTGTCAAAAGTACGACCCATTGCACATGGATGACCTCTGACACCCTTGTCGGCAGCAGTGCTGCGTTTGGTCTTTCGTGGGAGCTGGGGTTGGATTCAGGCAAGCGGTCGAGAGAGATGTCATTCCTAAGTTTCACATGCACAGGGCACGAATTTCTTTGCGGCTCACCGTGGCTTCGCCCTTGCGGTGGGGTGGGAACAGCACGGTCACAGATTCAGGAGCGCGGCAAGGGATTCCCCATCACTCCAGTATTTGGCAGGGGTGGGGGGGGCTGTGTTTAGGTCGCCCCACAAACGAGAATGGCTCCAACGGTTAGCCTCACCTTCCATGTGGCAAAGCTTACAACCCACTCCCAAGGCCCTGCCCGCACATCCCAAGGCTTATCGTGGTTTACATCTTTGCTATTCTGTTCGTGCAGCTGCTGGCAGAGAGCCAAGTTGGACAAGGATGGTTTGAGAATGTTCCTCAGGCCCGAGGGTGAACTTGCTTCTGGGGTTGATCATGCTTGTGGCCGAATCTTTCGGTATTTTTCTGGCTGCAGCAGGTTCCAAGCTGCTGCATTTGCCAAGAGACCGCAAAATTCCCTGAAAACCAAATCCCAGACCTGCCTGAAACAGGCCATGAATTTCCTCCTGCTGCAGACGTTGGCTGGGGCCGATGTAATTGTCATCAACAAGCTGCTCGCAGCAGGCTTCGGAGGTAGTATATAGGGCTTTGCGAGTATGGTGTTTCAGGCCCGATGCTGAACTCCTCTTCTCTGACCCCACACGCTCTTAATTGCATATAAACCTCGCAATAGCCTCGAGATAGAGTTCTTCAGGTGATGACATTCCGGCCCAGGAGCGTCAGGATAAGACAGGTATGGACACATGGCCAAAACGTGCAGTAGATTCACGGGAGGCTGGACCTACTACCTGCTCTACCTGTCCTTTGCAGCTTGTCGGCCACGGCGAAAATCAGGCTTTCTGCGGAGTCTCCAAACTTATTGCGAGCCTGCAGCCCCCTGCCACACGAGTCAACATATGCATGCATGCATGCAGACATACATACATCCATACAGACAGACAGACAGACAGACAGACACCATCGCTGTTGCGGGAAGTGATGCTGCAAAGAATCATGTGGAGAGAATGAAGGCAGTACGGGGCAATGAAAGAAGGATCGATGCATTGGGGCCTATTCATGTACATGCGTGGGCTTCCATCGTGAATGCTGCAGTGGGGAGTGCGGCGACCAAGGAGGATGCGGACGTTCTCAAAGGGCATTTTTAAGGTTTTTTGAGAGTATCACAAAGCCTGGCTCAGACCTAAACTCCATTGCGCCGCATGCTCATGTTGCTCGCTTTCGTAAAGCATGGGATAAAGGAACGGTGAAGATACACTTGGCTTGCCGGAGCGACTGGTGTAAAGTGTTTGAGTCACTAGATCGAGCCCCTGTTGCGGGCGGCACGAAGCGGAAGCTCGGACAAGCCCCTCGTGGTGGGTTAGAGCGCAGATCCGAGAATTTCTGGATGCATTGCAGTAAACGAACTAGCAAAAGACCAGTGGGGCTGGGTACGGACACAGCTGTTTTGCCCGTTGTTCGGCCTTGTCGTGTGGTGACAGGAAGGCTCTGTTCCTAACCCCCGTTGTCTCCCGTACCAGCTGCCAACACGCCGGGGCTAAGTCCCCCTGCTCGGGTTGAAGACTGTCTTCGAAGGTCGTGAGTGAGTGTGAATGACAGACAGACACACGTACATACGAACGTACATACATACATACATACATACGTGCATGCATACATACATACATACATACATGCATACATGCACACATACATACGTATACAGATACATGTGCATGCATACATACATAATCATACATACATCCAACATGCATACATACATACATACAGACACACATGCATGCATGCATGCATGCATGCATGCATGCATGCATGCATGCATATATAGACACGTAAGATGCTGCTGGCCCTTGCACTTGCGATGTTTTTGGTTCTTGCTGGCCTGTCTAGTGCTCGGCCTGCGAGTGTTCTTCGCATGTTTGTCACTGCGGCGGCGGTGGTGGTTGTACTACTTACCACCAAGTGAGAGTGCAGTAGTAGGTGCATGCACACTTGCTTTTCGGTTGTGCGAGGCTAAGCATCGGCGCTACCACATCTGTCACCGTGTCACTGTATGTCATCCCGACAGAACTGATGCTACACAATTCATGAGCTATCCGTTGAATCTATTCTGAGGTGTTCATGGGCTCTCTGACATTGATGCAGCTCGGCATAAGCGGAAATCACACCGAGAGCTTCGAGAACTCTAGCGGCTTAGATGCCGAGAGCTTTCGGAGTGATCCTGTGGCAGTGCCGTGTCCACTGCCGGACAGGACTCGTTCGGAAAATACATCAGCTGCTGAATTCCCTTGGCTCAGGTTCAATGCGTTTTCTGTTGTGGCCGGCGCATGTTTACTATGCCTGGGCTTGTGTTCATGCCCATCTTTGGCATGATTGTTGTTAGTTGATTTCAGCATCATTGCGCTGCATGGTGTTATGAGCGCAACATGGCTTATGACTGACAGGTGGGATGGATTCCTGGGGCAAAAGCCATTTTGATATAATATGAAGGTATTTCAGTGATCTTTACATAATTTCAATCGGAACTGGCAAAACTAGGTGTAATGGTATGAGGAGAATGGTTCGTCGCATCAATGGCAAAAACACAAGCATACGAATGAAGCGCGTGGTGTTATGCTGTTCAATTACAGAGAACCATATACGAGATTCTTGGGACGTGTGGATAGGTACGGGGAAAGGTTTGGCTTCGTTGAACCATATCTTCGCGGTTGTTGCTGTATAGACCTCGGCATGGCTCTTTCATGCTACTACAATGTCGTGAGGGGGGGGCACGGTGTTTCAGCTCATTCCTGAGTTCGACACCCGAAGCTGTTACCCAAAGCCAAAGCCATGTCCGAGGAACATGCTCATCGGAGTCCTCTGCGAAGTGGTTGGTGTTGTTGCTCAGATTGAGGAGCCACCGGCCACAGTCTGGAAGCCAACACTGTCAAGGTCGTTGCTGTGTTTTAAGTGTTCAAGCGGGTTATTGCGTAGTCCCTACCTTATCTCTGACTTGGATGGTGAAGGGCCACATGAAGCATCGGCTGAAACGGACTGTTCTAGTGCAGATGACGTAGCAGACGCATGCATGCTCCCGAAGATGCACCCGCAGCAGGAAGAGCGAGCCTTTCACGATGAGGCACAGCGCCTTGCTATGCAGATTAGACCTGCAAGTTTCCTTTTGAACTGAAGGTCCACCCTGCTTTGTGAGCACCTTGAACTTGACGAGTGGGAGCGGCAGGTGAAAGCAAAGACTGCGTGTCTGCCAGAACATGAAAGACCGCGAGCGCAAGGAGCAACTCCACAAGCCCAAAAGCTGAGAAATCAAACTTGAAAGTTCCTGCCAAGCCTGAACCCTGCTTCGATCGCTTTCCGTTTCAGGTTGAGTTGTCTTGAAGGGTGTTTCCACCAAGCTCCACCCCTCTCAAATGGTCACGGAATACCTCCGAGGATGTACATCGCCAACTTTGTTCGTCTCGTGGCGGCACTCGACGGTGTGCTTTCGGGGCATCATAATGCTGTTCAGGAGCAAATTAAGCTTGTAGGATTGGGAACGTCGCGTGATCCCCACAGCAGCATGAAGAGCACCAAGTAATTACAACAAGACTTGCAATGTGCAATGGCGCCACTATAGGAGCCGCAACACGCTTGCAGCAGAGTTCGGTCTCAGAGATGGAACACTGCGACGACGACGGCGACGACGACTACTACTACGACTACGACGACTACTGCTGCTATCGCTACAATTGCCAATATTGTCACTGCTGCTGCTATTGCTACTGCTACTGCTACTCACTAGTACTACGACTAGTACTGTTGCTGCTGCTGCTGCTACTACTACTGCTGCTGCCACTACTGCTACTATTACTCCTACTGCTACTACTACTACTACTACTACTACTACTACTATATACTACTACTACTACTACTACTACTATATACTACTACTACTACTACTACTACTACTACGACCACTACTTCTTCTACTGCATCGTTCTAGCAGCCCAACTTCTCCCAGTTTTCCGCAACCTGAGATGTGCTGGACATTGATGGAGACCAGAAGCTGTCGAAAGTCGAGTTTCTGCAGCTTATGGAGCGGGATCCAGACCTGCACCACGTCTGCATCAAAGCTTGCCGTTGTTCGGCTCCAGTACCGACGGAGAGACGATGCTTGCGTTCTGGTTCGCTTCTTGCATCACGGATGTTTGCGACAACTGCTGGTTGGACCCTGGTCGAGCTTATCACAGAATCTCAAGACGGGAAGGGATTTGAGCACATTGAACCCAAACTGACAAACTTGACACTGCAGGAGCCAGCAAGATCACCCATGCATGTACAAGCCTATGCGGAGGCACGTGACGCGCACGGAGACGCGCACACAGAGATACAACACACACGCGCACACACATGCACACACACGCACACACACACACACAGACATATATGTTTTGTACAGCCAGAAGGCGGAGCAGGCCCGAAACCTGTGGCGCCTTACTTGTTGAGATTATTTCTGGTTTGTCTCGCAAACTTTTGCTCGGAGGCTAAGCCTTACACAGCGATGATTTGTTTGAAGTGAGATTCCAAGCTTGCCCCCACGCTATCAGCTGTCACGACTCAGCACTGACGTCACCGAGAGTCCATGGAGATATGTTCATGTTCCTCCATCCCCTTGCATACACACGTACACACTTCCACATCGCTTCGACAATCTGATTCCGCCAACTCTTCGCCTAAACTCCCTTGCCGCCTTGGCCGAGTCGTGACCCTTTGAGGCTCAAGGGACTTCAGGCTTTCGGAATCGACGCCGTGACCTTAGCCACAGGGATCTGGCATGGTTTTAAAAGGGTAGGGTGCAAGCTTCATGGCCTATTTCATGTCGGCGCTTCGCCTAGTGGTACGGGTCGGCAGTCTGCAAGGTTCAGGGTTCCATGCGTGCAACTTTGTGGGGTGCAGTGGGTGAAGATGCATAAGTCCACTAGCTTCTCGTGAAGGTTTCCGCTCGATGGGGGATCTCAGGCTCAGATCGGGTGGTCTTGTGCAGTGCCGAAGTGTCGATTCAGCTTTCCAGGTTGAAGTGCAGCTTTCTGTCACCACTTTCCTCCAATCCGAAGAAGCTGCTACAATCTTACTATGTCGACACTATCGATTTTCCGACGATAGATTGGATGGTGGTGCAACCTCAAGCAACCGAGACTGTGCGTTCATTCGACGAGTCTGGCAGACAGCCGTGCACTCCATTAGCTTGCATCGTTCACTAGCCAGGACTTCTGAAAAGCGCCCCCTTGCAAACCTCCTCCCGCCAAGCACTGGACCCACTAGACCCAAAAAACTTAACATTCTCAACCCTGCATGCATAAAACCCCAAACCCGGAAGCCCTTAAAAAAACCCTGTGCCTTCCAAATAAATAGCCTGAAGACAAAGGTCGTCGCATTCTGTGACAATGCCATCGCGTTGTTTTCCGACAACGACACAATGGAAGTTGGCCGCTTGTCAAGGGTTTGGGGGTAGTGGGTGTTGAATACAGTGATGTGTTGAAGCAGTCCTGGACCTGAATCGTAGCACCGACCTATACACCAAACACCACTTCGGCTGCTGCCAAGGTGACTTCGTAGAGCTGGTGACGCAGTTCCGGAGCCAGAAGCAAACCACTGTCAAGGACCGATATCCATAACTTTACCCGCAACCATGATAACGTCCACTAAGACCCCATCCAGGGATCATGCGGTACACCATGATCTAATGCAGTCTGTCGTGGTCTCCCTTACTTCCTGGTTCGACTTCCTGGGTCAGTGCGCTCTATCGTCTAGTATCAATGATGTAGCCTGTGGAACTATGGTGGTAGTACTAGTAGTAGCAGCAGCAG